ACTTTAAATAGTTGAATAAGTGTTTGGGTGGCACAAGCTTGCTTGCTCGTAAGATGTACTTGGCTGTGTTTATTGCTCAAAAGCTAAATAAGAGCAAATAGTTCTCAAGATTTTGTTTCGTGTGCTTTCATCTGAACCTTTGAAAACTTCTTGTTGTACGCATTCATATATCACATCATTCCAACTCAACAGCTAATGGTCACGATACTCATGTCTTGCAAACAAGAGTTGCTCAAGTTGTTGTTTTGAGCTTCCATGCATTACTTGAAAAGGTTGGCAAGAGTGTTTAGTGGCACAAGTTTTCCTCTTCGTGATACTTGGCTGGGCTATCACAGAGAAGGTGTACATTAGCAAATATTTCTCCACGATTTGTTTTGTGCGCTTTTGACTGAACCTTTCAAAACGGCTTGTTGTATGCTTGCATGTATAGCATCATCCCCATTGGTCAGCCATTTGCAACAGTACTCTTGTCTTGCAAATAAAAGGGGCTCAATTTTTCATTTTGAGTTTCCATGTATTGCCTGAATGGTTCATGAGAGTGTTTTTGTGGCACAAGAATGCTTGTCTGTGATACTTGGCTGTGCTTATCACTCAGAAGGTGGACAAGAGAAAATAATTCTCCACGCTTTCTTTTGTGCGCTTCCATCTGAAGCTTTCAAAACGTCTTGTTATATGCTTGCATGTACAGCATCATGCCGATTGGACAGCTATTTGCAACGGTACTCATGTCTTGCAAACAAAAGGGGCTCAATTTTTCATTTTGAGTTTCCACGTATTGCTTTGAATGGTTGATGAGAATGTTATTGTGGTACAAGAATTCTTGTCTGTGATACTTAACAGTGTTTATCACTCAGAAGGTGGACAGGAGGAAATAATTCTCCACGCTTTGTTTAGTGCGCTTCTATCTGAAACTTTCAAAACGGCTTGTTGTATGCTTGCATGTACAGCATCATGACGATTGGACAGCTATTTGCAACGGTACTCATGTCTTGCAAACAAAATGGGCTCAAGTTTTCATTTTGAGTTTCCACGTATTGTTTTAAATGGTTCATGAGAGTGTTTTTGTGGCACAAGAATGCTTGTCTGTGATACTTGGCTGTGTTTATCACTCACAAGGTGGACACGAGGAAATAATTCTCCACGCTTTGTTTTGTGCGCTTCTATCTGAACCTTTCAAAACGGCTTGTTGTATGCTTGCATATACAGCATCATGCCGATTGGACAGCTATTTGCAACGGTACTCATGTCTTCCAAACAAAAGGGGCTCAATTTTTCATTTTGAGTTTCCATGTATTGCTTTAAATGGTTGATGAGAATGTTTTTGTGGCACAAGAATGCTTGTCTGTGATACTTGGCTGTGTTTATCACTCAGAAGGTGGACAAGAGGAAATAATTCTTCACGCTCTGTTTTGTGCGCTTCCATCTGAACCTTTCAAAACGTCTTGTTATATGCTTGCATGTAAAGCATCATGCCCATTGGACAGCTTTTCGCAATGGTACTTATGTCTTGCAAACAAAAGGCGCTCAATTTTTCATTTTGAGTTTCCAGGTAATGCTTGAAATGGTTCATGAGATTGTTTTTGTGGCACAAGAATGCTTGTCTGTGATACTTGGCTGTGTTTATCACTCAGAATGTGGACAAAAGGAAATAATACTCCACGCTTTGTTTTGTGCGCTTCCATCTGAACCTTTCGAAACGTCTTGTTATATGCTTGCATGTACAGCATCATGCCCATCGGACAGCTATTCGCAATGGTACTCCTTTCTTGCAAACAAAAGGGGCTCAATTTTTCATTTTGAGTTTCCACGTATTGCTTTAAATGGTTCATGAGAATGTTATTGTGGCACAAGAATTCTTGTCTGTGATACTTGGCTGTGTCTATCACTGAGAAGGTGGACAAGAGGAAATCATTTTCCACACTTTGTTTTGTGTGCTTCTATCTGAACCCTTGAAAACACCTTGTTGTACGGATTCATGTACCGCATCATCCCAACTGAACAGCTAATGGTCACGGTACTTATGTCTTGCTAAGAACAGTGGCTCAAGTTGTTGTTTTGAGCTTCCACTCATTGCTTAAAATAGTTGACAAGAGTGTTTAGTGGCACAAACTTTCTTGTTCCTGACGCATGGCCGTGCTATCACAGAGAAGGTGCACAATAGCAAATAATGCTCTACGCTTTGCTTTTTGCACAAGATGCTCATGTGCTGTGACATTAGTATCGTTACAAATAGCTGTCCAATGGGGATGATGCTGTACACGTAAGCGTGCAACAAGCCATTTTCAATGGTTCAGATGGAAGTGCACAAAACATAGCGTGGAGAATCAAATGCTATTGTGCGCCTTCTCTGTGATAGCCCAGCCAAGTATCAGGAAGAAGAAAGCTTGTGCCACCAAACACACTCATAAACCATTCAAAGCAATGCATGGAAGCTCAAAACAACGACTTGAGCCACTTTTGTTTGCAATACATGAGTATTTTGACCATTAGCTCTTCAGTTCGAATGATGTGGTGCACAAATTTGCATTGTTTGAAATATGTTATCTGAGTAATTGTGTGAGACAAACTTGCGCATTTTCTGCTTGCCTGTTTTGAGTTTTCTTTAAAGACCTAGAAAACGTCATTTGAAGACATCTCTCTAATTTTATTGAGGGACGTAATCTTGCATTGCCATGCAAGCATGGTTTAAAGAAAACGTTGGTGTAGTGTAACTGCAGAGAGAATTCATTCTTCAAAGAATTGAAGAGAAGTGTCTAGTGTTAGCCCTCTTTATTTACTTTAAGGAAGTATTACACTCATAAAACAAAACCAAGAAATACTTTGTGTCAAGCTTGAATTTCCGTAATATGATGGCAATTGAGTCTTATAACTTGTGAATTTTTATGCGTCACTTTGACATCAGCATGTTAATATTGATTAGCACTCATGAGAAACACTGGATCCTACGCCAGCTAGGAGTCACATAGAGAAGCATACTGGTTTGTTTCTTGTTTAACTTATTATTAACAAGACTGTTAGTATATATTACTCATTTTGTTTTGCACACTTATGCATGGGTGTCAGTAAGGGGAAAAAATTGGGGTAGTTGTCCCCCTCAAGCCTCACTAGCACTTGCACCCACCCAAGCTATGGCAGTGCTTTCGCCCTACACCAGCCATTTTCACCCCTCAAGAAAGAATCCTGCCGATCACCATGCACTTATGGCACCGATATAACAGTTGTGTGAGAGAGCTGATCTCAAGGCGTGTGCTCCTCGGTCATGCGGCTTCGCTGTCTGCGTTGGAGGCGTAACCGATAGATTGAAGACGAGAGAGTAAGCGCGGAGTCTGTAGATATCAAGAGCGACTGCAGCCTCGTTTGCTTCCTCAGTCACACAGGCTGTCTCCCCACTCCTCGCTTTCGTTCCTTATGAATGAAGTTTGTGCGCATGCAGTGCGGCAGGCTTCGATTGTCCTAAAGTGGCTGTAGGCGTTCCGCTTAGTTCGCGGCTCCTTGAATGCACATAGTGGTGTGCGTGAAGCTTGAGCACTGGCAGTTTTAGTGGCAACATGTAGCGAATTAATGTTATGTTTCTACAACTGCGGAGTGCATGTGGCTGCAGTTAGCATTGCTTCAACAAGAAGCTGCGCGTTGAATGTGCGTTAAGTAATATCGTAATCTTCGTAGAATTTTTGGTTAGTAAAAATGGAGCGTGACTGGAAAAAGTGCACTAGAAATTGTCGTGGCTAATACGAGAGGGATCACTTTTTGGCCACGGGGTGAAGCATGCGCTATGACAGGAATCAGTGACTTGCAGCTCTAGAAACATAAAAAATGTGCTAGCCATGTAAAATTCTAGGAGTTTGGTTAACATAAAAGTTGCTGAGGGATGTGCAGGCCAGTCTCGCGCGTTAAGCTGTCTCACGTTTTAATTGTTCTTCCTACTAGCAGCACTTTAAAGAAGCTCCACCTTATTCAAAACAGAGCTTTACGCATAATTTACAACTTAGCCAAAGACAATTCTCCACAGCTCAGCTGTTTTTACACTATTACTTACGCTGAATTCTGGCATATGCATATACAAGATAAAGAATATATTAATGCTTACAGATACAGTAAGGTCAGCTGAATACTCATCTATGTAACACTTACGGTTCGTGAAAAAATTCTAAACAACACCACACACTAATTACAGGGCCCAGACGAGAATATCTCTACCATTAGTCTGTGTATTGAACAAAAAATAGTCAACATCTCGCAGATCTGCGCTTTATGCTTTCGTCGTTAATCTAGATTAACACGGACGAATTTTATTTTTATGTGTTTTTTTTCTGTTGGTCTCCTTGAAGTTGGGTGTACTGGTCGCGTTCTTTTGGCGATTATGTATGCTTATGTACGCCAGTTAACGTATGCCGTCACGGCATGCTGCTGAACAATAATCAGCTGGGAAGCTTAGTGAGGTTCAAAAAAGCTTTTTTTTTTTCCACATGCTCTCCGCTGTAGGTAGGTCCAGTTTGTTACTGCGTCGATGAGAATCAACGGGATCATCGCAGAATGCAACTACCATTTGCATTTTTGCGCGACCGGATGTTTACGAGCTATAAGTCAACACCACCTGACAGCCGCACTACGGAAGCCAAAATACAAATTTTTGGTAGCGTGAAAAAAAATCTATTGAGACCAATCAAACTTACTACATGCTTTTTTATGCGCGCAAAAAAACGGGAGTTTATGAATTTGAAATTGTGTCAATGAGTTTTCTCTTTCTCGCCAGCTTCGAGTTTTTTTTTTCATTGTAACTGCGGGAGAGTCGGTTAACGACAAGCGGCCAAGACAAGCCCATTTCGGAGTCATTCGTCGTCAATATGGCGCTTGCAGGTTGTGCGAAGGGGTTTGTTGATTGTCTTGTGCTACCGGATTTAAACGTTTCCTGTGTGTGTGTGCAGCCTCTATGCCTCTTCGAACTGTGCGGCAGGTGTGAAACAGATGTGGTTCAGTAAAACCGTGAAAAGTCATTTGAAATGCGGCGTGCACCAAAAGTCACGTTCGTCATTTGCGGAGACGGTTACCGCGCCGTTGTGGACAACCTCGAGAAGCGCTTCATATCGCTGAGCGTTGCCGATATGGCAAAAAAGGCCATTATCGGCAAAGTGAGCCGGGTAAGGACATCAAGAAGAGCTGCTATTACAGGGATGTCCACCTTCTTTGAGGTGAGTGTCATTTTATTTTCCATGACGTTTTCGCTGGCGTGCGTTTAGGCGAACAAAGGAGGGCACAACGAAAACATGTTTGAGTGCGTGTGTGTTTTATTTTTTTATGTGGCACATTTTATCCGTGTGTTGTGTACGTTGGCATGCTGCACCTGATACCGCGCGCTCGTGTCCCATGGGATCTTTCGATCGCAATCATGACCGATCTGGATCAAAATGTATTATGTGCGGCTGCACAGTGACCTAAGTTGTAGCTGGCACTGTTGATCGCGATCAAAAACCGCATTCGGATCGGCCCTGATGGGGCTGGAAATGTCCGGTGTGACACTGGTAGAGTTATTAATATATGAACAAGTCGACGTCGCTATTCCTGATGGCAAACCTGCACTACATTGCATTTATTTATTGTTCGCATGTAATAGTCACACATTCTACGTTTTCATTTGTGTGGTTATTTATAGTAGCCTGCTCTCCAACTTTATGTGTTCTCTGATTAAACTATTTTTACTGACCTCGTGCAGATGGAGAAAAAAACGACTCGCCGTGCAACACAATCTTTCTACCAGAGTGACTGTGAAAAGAACGTCAGAACTTGGAAGGTAAATGTGGTTTAATAGTAAAACTTACTTTAACAACATATACAAAATGCTAACTTCCGATGTCCTGGTTGCTTTGACAAGCCGCACGTCTATACAATAGTCGCTCATTCATGTACATTTGTGCTAATTGGCTAGGCAAGGGTTACTCATTCTATGTTGCAATTTTTTTTCAAGTTCTGTTCGGTCGTGAAGTAGTAACCAGAGCGAAAATGAAGACTGCTTAATTTGAAACGTTTAGGTACATATACCAGCTACATCTGTACATATTTGCCATTTTGATTCAGACATTTGACAGTGTGTAGCATCAACTCATTAATTTATTTATTCACAATACTGCAGCCTAGCATAGCCCAAGCTGCAGTGGAATTACAAGAAAGGAGAATGGTACAGAAATAATTAGTAACAATACTGGCACCACACGTAAATACGTCAGTTTTGCCGGGATGATTCTTACAAAGAAAAAGAACAGCACTAATAGTTAGCAACCACACTTTCCACTTAGTAATGTAAGAGTCTCAGTGATTTAGTATTCAGCACAACAAATGTTGATCAAGGGCTTCATCAGAACTGTCTGCCTTGCAACTTCCTTTACTCTCCGCCTAGAAGTTTAGTAAGCGAGTCTGCATCAAGCAGCAGAGCGAAGAACAGGACTGGGTGAAAGCACAGGCCTCCTAGCCAGCATTTCATGTTAGCAAAAATATGGCAATCAGAGATAGCTAAGTTGAGTCTGTATGGTGTTGGGCGACTGAACTTCCCGCTGCTTCCTCTGTGGCCCCTTGTTGTCATGAAAAAAAAAGACAGTGTCTTATGTCTCTCTTTGCTTATTCTTAATTGCGCTCTGTAGACATTTGAGAGTTAGACCCACAATACTGCAGTGAGGGTCATGCCATGTCCCATGAATAAGTGAGGCATAAACTTGCAAAGGCTCATGGGATTCATGCCATCTGCACCAGCTATCATTTCAATGGCTCTCTGCGTGCTGCATCACTCCTTGAGTATTGGCGTTTATCCGTGTCACTCGCTTTCTTCATGGTAACCCAACGCATATGCTGCAAATTTCTAGCACACAATCACATGACCGCACCTACGACTGACCACAAAAGAGAACCATGTGCTGTGATTGCCAAATAATATTTTCATTTGAAGTGGCAAACAACCGACTATATGTGCTATCACAATTATGTGTTTTCTTTTAAGTGGCGTGGCCTTGGTTGTCACGTCTTTCAACTAATTTTACACTTGCATAATAATGCACATCACCGACTAATGTGCTCATTTTTGCGTGTTTGCCTCAGTGAGGGCGCTCAGCTGTTTTTGCATTTGCAATTGAAACACTCTGTCGCTGTCTCAGATTGTTGGATATATAGTATCTTGTATCAACGTTCACCATGTGCAATGAGTATCATATGTTACTAAAACTACGTTTTCAGCGGTGACGGCCTGGTAAAATGTTCAAATGTTCATGAATGACATCGACTTTTATTTAGTAAAGTCGAGCTTCTTAGGCGTTTCGGTATTGCATCGTTTTTGTGAACAAGCTGGTATAGGCGATGCTCACCTCACAGTCAGGCACCGTGTTTGTTAAGCCTTGTTACCTGTCCTGCTCGCATGTGCACCAGATCAGGTATGAATAAATTTACTACGTAATGAATGCATGGAGGAACAGTTGAAATCACTAGCAACACATTGTGTACCTGTTCTATATATAGAATAGTGGAGCGCCCTTTCTTGTCTACATAGCATTACTGACACATCATTTTTTCCAACTGGTACGAAGTCGTCGCCTTCTTAACCACTACTAATTGTGTATACATCACTGCAATTGGTGCCGTGGATTCTACTGTGTCACCCCTGGCATGATATCGTGCGGCTGTTGGCTGCTCTGTCTTGCTGTTTTCTGTATCAAGCTCAGAGCTGGCTGCACGTTGCATAGCGGCCGTGCATTTTAAAACAAATGCCGTATGCTTGTCGTAGCTGTGTAGATAGTGATTGTGGTTGTGCTGATGAAAACTACACATCCAAACGACTTTTGTACTTCAGTCTTGGCGCCTTAGATTCTCTTTCGACGTGCCAATATGTTGATGGCACGTAGTCAACCTGCCATGGATCTTTGCTTGGAGCGCCTGTACATAAATACCGAATGTGTCAAACGAAACCATCCATGCAGGATTGTCGATAAATATTACTCACCTTACGCTAGACATATACCACTCACCATGTCTCTCCACAAAATTTCCTTCAATTTTCTATCTTTGTTCCAAGGGAATCTGAACATTTTTTCTCGTTTGGCACTATTTTCGACAGCTTCACAGCCGACTATGATTGTGCAAATGACTAGATTTCAACACAAATGAAAGAAAAGCCATGTCTACGTCTCCGAAAGCGTGGCCAGCGAAACAGCGTGCCACGAATATCTTTAACTAGGAGCCGATGCAGATGGCAAATCTCACGAGTCTTTGTGGGTTTAAGCCTCACCTATTTTATCACGGAAACACCACCATTTATCTCCCCAAACACAGCAGCCATGCACTTCTTCTTGGAGAAGGTTCACTTGAATTTCTTTGCGCTCATCGGAATGCTTCTGTTTGTATTGCACCTTCAGTTCTGGAGTACATCATGGTAGTGCCAGAGAAATGTCAAAATGGCACCCGTTTATCGTTTTGTTTTCATGACCAGTCAGCATTTTAGGAACTGACTGCACGCAGTTTGCAGCACTAGAGTCTCACTCTGTGTCCAACCATGGTATACCATCTGTGCTGTATTGAGCTGACTGCAATATTTTGGGAAATGAATTACTCAGCCCAAAAATTCTGACCCCATGATTTTACCGAATTATCTGATCCGTTCAGTCAACAAAATCATAGTTTTACACTTGCTTCATTCCCAGTCAGTATGCATTGTAAATATTGTACATCATGCTTCTAATTTCCTACACTATTGCAGTGCCTTGCTGTCATGTATTAAAAGTGGTGCTGTACACATTGCTCAATATTCGATGAATTTCAGCTGCACTGCACTGCTCAGCACCCTGAAATTGAAATCTAGCACACATTTCACACTTATCCGAGGCATGCTTACATGAGTTTTGCGTCAAGAACTGAAAGCTGTGACCTCATAAGATAGACAGGCACACTAAAGAAATCGTACAACACATATGCGTTGCATCATGAAATTTTAATTCCTTTTTATTCGGAGGCCAGTTTGACTTTGAAAAATATAGGCATTGTATTTTATGAGCTGAAATGTATCTCCGGAGTGTCAACATGCCAAAGCAAGCTTCTCAAGTTATACTCTATGCTGACTCTATGTTTGTTACGTTCATGAAGCAGTTAATTTTGTAATGATTTGCATAAATTCATGTGGCTAAATCACTGCATAAACATCAGTCTGCAAATATGATGTGCAATTATTGCATAGTTATAAATTAAGGAGCACATGCAGCTGTTGCGGTCAGCAACACAGCAGACAGTATGATATTCAAGTGAATATTCATGGCTACCTATGAAGTAATATATGACTTAGTAAGGTAGTTACTGCAACTCTAGTCTTGAGGTACGTGTAACTGGAAAGTACAGACTTTGTAGTATGTTGTGTTTATCGAAATATTCTCAGCAAGTGCTCCTGGAGAGTGAATGATAATTCGACAAGGTTTGAAGAGTAGGCTCTTGCTCAGTCATCGGTCAATATTTAACGTGGAAGTGGACGAATCACTGAGAATAAAAAATGCACATCTGTGCGTGTACTTGAGCACTGTCTTGAATGCCCATGCATACACGGCTTTATTTCGCATTCACTCGGCAAATGAAAACAGTGAAGATGGTGGTAGAGGAGAAGAGGCTACTTATTTAGCACCTCTATTTAGCAAGAAAGTAGGGAGGTGCTCGCTCTGTTAGGAGTGCTTACTCTGGATTTTATGGCATTTAGAGCGTCTCTACTGAGTGGTAATATTTTGGGTTTTATATACACTCCCAAGACCCCCCACCCCACCCCTCCAAAAAAAAAAGTCGCAGAAGGCAGCGATTCAAGAAAGAAAAAGAGCCCTGTATGATGGCTCTGGCAATTAGAAGCTTGTTTGATTGAGCCTCCTCCAGAAAGAGAAAATTTTTACAATGGAACGAGTGGATTGAGCAACAAATAGAGGCTTTGGAGGAAAGGAATGGCAGACTTCAGAACCCCTCTCAGCCATAGGTCAGCAAACTCTCTCACAAGCCGAGTCACTCAAACTCGGATTGGGCCATAAATGAGAATCTGAATGAGCCATATGTGCAAATACATTTTGTGATTGAGTGAGCTTCACATTTTTTTTTGGTCGGCCTGTGCTTTCAACACACCTTCGACAATTTAAAGATAGAATTTTCGGTGAGCCTGTAGTTCGCGCTCTCTTCTTTTTCATTCATCTAACGTTAACACTGGCCCATCTTCCCTATGTAGGTATGGCCGAAGCTAAAAGGAACATGTTACTTTACGTCTGTATGGTAATCAACAAAATTTTTGGTGTGTTTACGAAACAAATGTGAGTCCAGCTTCTTGTCCCCTCTCGATGTTTTTCAGCATGACATTATATCTCGCCTAGTACCTAGTCTATTGGTGGCCATAATGCATTTATGTTGTATCTGTTTATCACTCTCTTTAGCCCCTGAGCTATGTTGTGAATGTAGGTACTACCCACGACACACCCTTTACATGCTACGCTTCTCGCTTATTATGTTCACAGAAGTCCAACATAAATCTCTACCAACAAGCTCAGCTGTCCATTACTCTAAGTTGCAAGTTTCTATAATGTAGTGAACATTCTTTTTCATGATTTCTTAATGCCTATTATCTGTCACCCCTTAGGTTTCAGTGATATCCTCCAGGTCAGGCACCTTCGGCAGAAACACTGCAGCTGCTGCTACCACCACCACGACCTATATTTCACTTCAGCCATTGCTGCATCACAACCAGTATTACAACTTCTGAGCTGCTACCACAGTCCTTCCCAATGATGCCTCACCTTGACAGGGCTTCACATGCTTCAAGAAGAAGCTGTCAGGCAAGTGTGTACTGTTAAGAAATTTAGCTTTCAATAGCACTGATGTTTTCAATGGGAAGAATAATTGACAAGTCTGCCAACTTCATGCTTCTTGAACAGGGTTGAAACTACGTGTGTCTGTCAGTGTAGGGAAGCAAGTTTATGTGAATTTCAAAGTAGCTTATTTTTATTTTATTTTACAATATTGCAGGCCCCTTCTCGGGCCAATGCAGGAATGGGTTGAACTTGAATACACAAAAATGTGAGGAAAATAAATCGAACTTATGTACAAAGCAAGTAAGAGCAAGAAATATGCACATTGTATAGTATACAGGTGTTCACATAAGTTCTGAATTCTGTTCATAAATTTGACAGAAGAGCAGTTCACAATATCAGCGGGCAGCATATTCCCTTACTACAGAACTAAATAATATTTGTAAGGGGTATGTTATTAATTTTGTGTATGAAGGAAGCAGGGTAAGCAAACGTTATAAGAAAGTACTTTTTCATTGTTTACTAGATATGAAAGCAGATTCTTTTTCTACAATTTTCGTGTACCGTGCAATCCTGAGCGAGTGCTCCCACTATGGTGAAGGTGACGAGAATTGGAGGGGGGGGGGGTTCTTGCTCGGTCTTGCATCAAAAAATCAAGATTATGGTGAAAAAGTCGCATGTGCTTCCAACGAAACTGATACGCTTTAATAAATATGCATGAATTCACTATGATTCTGCAACATCGTTGCGCTTCTAAATAAAGGAAGTGAAGGAAACTACAGAAATGGCAAAAAGGCGGGGGGGGGGGGGGGGAGTGCTTGCTCAGTTGTTCGTACATGTTTTAAATATCTTGAAAGAGAGAGGATGGAACTTGCTTATGTGGGGGCGCTTGCTTGAGATATTACAGTATTGTCCTCATCCTGCGTATCTTTTTTTAATCAACTGAAAAAAGCGACCTGAAAGCAAATGGCCCTTTTATATATCGTATATATGTAGCTTATTTTCTTTCTAAATTGACGAAAAGCATGAAGTTAAGCATTTTTAGCAAAAAGAAAAGGCTGTCGAACTAGTGTTGTTTAAGCATTTACCGAAGTAGGACACAGTGAAATAGATAAGGTGGCACAGTAAAAAAAATAAGTCAACACAGAAAAAAAATGTGCAATTTTTATTGCATTATTAGAACTCCATCTTCTCGAAATGGCATTTTGTTATGTCAGTATGATAATTTTAAAATGGCAAAAGATGTCATGCTGATTGTTTGTGCACGTACTCAAGCAACACATGGTGGTGTACTGAACTGAACTTGATCCTTTAGAATAACTTTCATTTGATCTTAAAGAAAGTGTGCAAAATGTCCGAAATCATGTACAGGAGCAAAAATATGCAATTTTTTAAATAAAGTAAACCATACTTTGGTTCGGTCAATAGAACGCAAGGCTCTGAACAAATTAGTATAAACTTCTGGTTGCTATCATTACATACTCAAAAATGATTACAATAGGGTAAAAAATGCGTGGAAGTCTGGGACTTGCCGGTCTTCTCTAATCAACACAGTGCTCTGAAGTAAGGCAGTGTTTACATACACCCGCAGAGCTGTCATATTCAATAATGGCAAAGTAGATACATAGAGCAGAAAAGTTATTGTCGCTACCCCTTAATTGGAGGCAGTGACCGGGTAGACTCCAATGGCTGACTTAACATCCCCCAAAATGCACTGCTAAAGCTTGAACAGTTTAACATCAGGCCCTTTTAGCAGGGGTGCAGCAGCTGTGCCAATCGCGCCAATTTGATACAATTCCCGATTGTTGCACCGAGCTGGGCCAAACCCGTGAAATTGTTAAAATTGCACCACGCTGCGCCAAAATGCCCAGCCAGCCTCAATTTTTTTTCAGGTGTACTAATTGCGGTGAGCAATGCAGGCCATGTCGGCCACCTGCAGCTTTGCACCATCACTAAAAGCACGCAAACCCGAAGTAAACTGCCTAGAATATACCTAAAATAATCTAGCCACCCACCCTATGCTCGTGAGACGTGATCGACCTGATAAAGTAACAACACTGCATGTCTATCGGTCCGTTGACCACAACAGATACGTATCGGCGGGATGGCAGAACTTTAAAACAAAAATGTGTTGCACCAACCCTTCGCGGAAAATGTAAGTTCTCTTGCCAGAAACGCGGATATGGCTTAATAAGGCTTCGACGTGCTGTAAATACCGGTGTTGATTACCTTAGCAGTGGCAAATGACAAATTTTGGCTGGAAGCTGCGTCCTTGCCACGGTCTTGGCGATAGATATCTGGTACCGTCGCCGGGGCAACGGGCGTGCGCCGTCGTTACTTTATCTGGTCAAACTCGTCTTGCAAGGTAGCCGAAGCGGCACATAGCCCCATGCTGAAAAGGGTGGGTGGGAGGGGGGTGGTGAGCGGTAAGAAAATTTGTTGACTTTCATTCTAAAGCTGCTTGAGTCACCTTTGCCGCACTAGACCGGTGCCTGCGAAAAAGCGTGTTGAGATTTACAAGGGGCTGTTCACGATACTGGGACACTTCACATCTTGCTCAGTTACTCATGCGTTTGTACATCATTAAATTCTGAGTACCAGTATAATTACTGACGTATAAATAAGCTACTGTCAATCATTTGAAGCAGTGTGTGACATTTATGCTTCTCTACAGAAATAAACTAAATTGTGCGCCAATTTTTTTTTCACCACCTCTACTTCTCGTTTTTACGAATCTTCCAAATTTCAAGCTCACAATATCGGCAGATTGATATGGAAATTCTCAGAGTTTGTCAAGTGATTTAACAGGTGCAGTAAACGCTAATATGGACTTTATCATTGGTTCCTTAGCGAGGTGGTTCAAAATACTACCTTCATTGAAATAGTAGTAAATAGTATGCTCACACTACATAATTTATGTTATGTTGAATTGTTTATACATGTTTTTTCTCTAAATGTAAGCCACCTTTTTTTATAGTGCTCAAAATTCGCTATGTCATGATAAAAATGCATGTTCTTTGTTTCCATAACCAGCTCCGAACTTGGAATTTAGTGCTCCAAAAGTAACATTTTGCTGCTCCAAAAATTGCTCCAAATGCTATTTCGGCTGTTGTACCCCTGTTTTAGCACGCCAGCAAATGCTGGTTGGGGTCCAAAGATAAAGTCTTAGCTCAGAGTTTTGTTACAAGCACGAAGCAATGAAGGAAATAGGAGCAAATGGGAATGCTATACAAAGATTAGCACTTAACTCTTCAGATTCCATTTCACAAAACGAAACACTGGTTAAAGTCAATGTCAGTGCTGCTGAGAGTGAGTGGGTTTTTGTGCTGTCGGTAGTCTCAACGAATAGAAAGTGCTGAGAGCACACCACGTAAACAAGCCGTGTAGTGATATTTATCCAAATAGCACGCACCAGCACTCATAACTGCGCCCTTATGTTCAATGGTAGCAGCTGTTGAAAGTTTCCATATAATTGCCATTGCAATATTTTATTCCAAATGAATGGCTAGTTAAATCACTGGACAATTCAAGTGGGTTTAACAATGATGGTGAGACAATCATCAAGTATTACTCATCGCAAGCATGAAACTCAGGCACTCCAGAATATTCAATCCTTCAAGCAATGATTTCATCACCAGCCCGACTAGTCCCTCCATATAGACTGCAGTATTGACCAGGAGCTCCCCTGCTGCAGTCGGTGAATACTTGTTACTCCTCAGTGTCGAGACTCTCTTTCAAAACACCTCCTCAGTGACTGCACAGCATCATCTATAAAATCTTCATCATAGACCGACTGACTGATGCCCTGTTAAGGTGCTATCAGGAGCTGTTTTGTATGCAAAACATCACACTGCATTGTTTCAAATTTTTTCTGGTCAGTGTTTTTCTCGGCAGCGATGTAAGATGATCGATGGTACTACTTAATAATGTAACACTTCTCTGGACAACCGAAGAACTCTTCTATATCATAACACATTGCCTTACCAGCTGAACCACTTCTGCATTTACCCTGTCTCTGCGTGCTTATATTGAGCAGCACCCTGCATAGGTTAAAAAGAAATCTGCGAATCATTCACACTCACTCATGAAATATATTTTTTCCTTAGGCCTTACTAGTGGACTCAGACTCGCTGCTCATTGCAAGTCTGACAAGTCTGGTGAGTAGACTTCCGAGTCCGTTAAAATATGATGATCTTTTCCACACATGATTTCAATGCTCCTTAAAGGCAATGTGTTGCATAATTGGTGCTCCAGTTGATGATCTTTTCCACACATGGTTTCAATGCTCCTTAACAGCAATGTGTTGCATAATTTGTGCTCCAGTTACAACCTTTCAATCTCAGACCTTTATATAGTGACTGCAACCCAGTAAGGTAATCTCTATTCAAAGAGATGGCACCTCAGATATTTTATGAGAATGTCCCGGGAAGAAATTCACAGGAGGGCATGTCAAGGAACCTCGACTCCCCCCCCCCCTCTTGTAGTTCTGGCCTCTCAGCTATAAATATTGAGTCGGTGCACAAATGCTTGTGCATTGAGATATGTGTGAGCTGTGAAAACTGAGAGCTCAAGGCGCGATTTCATGTGGAGGGAGGCCGCTACACTGCCACGAGACACTGCAAGGTGCCAGCTGGAGCACCTATTATGCAATATATTGCTTTTATGGAGCACTGAAACTGTAGGTGAAAAAGATAATCATATTTTAACGGACTCGTAAGTTGACTCACCAGACTTGGTCATTGGTCACTAACAGCACAAAAACCCTTCACTCTTGGGAGCACTCACACTTGCTTTAACCAGCGTTTTGTTTTGTAGAGTTAAGTGAGATTGAATCCAAAAGAGGTTACTGCTAATCTTGATTCTCAATTGCTATGATTCTTGAACAAGGATGCCAATAGTTGCCATTTGCACCCTGGTTCGAGGAATATTGACATGACTCATTCGTGCATAGCAA